TGTAAGTACTACGAGAACCGTAGCTTATATGTTTATACTAATTTTTACATTAGAAAAATAATTTAGCTTAGGAATAATCGGAAGTTAATGAAATCCAATTTTCCCAGGAGATCCATATGAAGACTTAATTTAGAGCAATACATGTCCATTACTCACGCGTTTACTGATTTCAAGATGATAAAAAAACTCAAAAAGTGTCAGCTCAGCCAGAAAGTTTCTCGCCAAGCAGATTTTTTTTTCAAAGCCTGTAACAAAAGCTAAAATTTCCCCGGTAAAGCGATCCAGAGTCAGCATTTGTTCGCTCACAACCAATACAAGCATGTTTGTTTCCTGGCAACCAGTTGGATCTGAATGGCCTGCGAAACATCACGATCGGTTAGACGACTTACATCAACAATTAGAACACGGTTCGTTAGCGACCACATCTGATAGTCAAAAAATCCATTTTACGCCAGATCACCGTTAATCAAAGCAATTTTTGAGACCTCGTCAGCAAAATGGTGAAAATCATAATCATTACTAAAATTCAAGCATAGTTGCGAGCTGATACGAGCGTTAGAGTCTCAAATAGAACTATTGAGGTGGAGCGTCATAAGCACCGATTAGAAAGGATCTGAAATTGCTGTACAGCTGCAAAAGCAAAACTACCAGTCTGCTTAGCTAATGGAAGAAGAATGTCATACTTAGCGTTCTTAACGAGGCGGGTGAGTTCTAGGTCAAATGCGGCATTAAGCTGAGTCGATTGCTTTCCAGTACCTGCGCGCTGGTAAAACCACTGCGCATAAGTCGTAGTAGCGGACCTTCTTGACTGGTTTAGAAAGGATAGCCTGAGGGTTCCTTCTAAGTAGGTAGACTGTTTTACATAAGTAGGTACATCAGCACATGAGTAGCGTGCGCTGTATCGCTATCATACTATTGGCTGATATATGGGGAGCCGCCAAAACTCATTATAAGCCAATATGTCGATGAAAAGTATTTGTCCTAAAGCAAAGTCCGAGTTGAATTTTTCGCAACCCTTAGACTTAGTCGCTCAACCGCGAGCTTCCTCAACACTATAGTGAACGCGAGTAACGGAGTAAATATCTGTCCCGTTTCTCCTGGTAGCACTTTGTAGTCCTTCCAATGACCAAGTTAACATGAGCCAAGACCTCGACCACGCTGCTTTCCCTCACCTCACTTGGATCAAGAGGGAAGCTCTCAACCGCCTCGTAGCGGTCGTCACGTCGCTGCTGCGCTCAGCGACGCTCGACCAACAGCGTCCAGTGTCCACGGAGCGCGAGCTCGTTGCTGCGAATCAGCGAGTGTCAACTCCCTCGCGCAGTTTTAAGAATGACGCTGTGAAACTATGTCGTGACTGTCCGGCCAAGGAATAGGCTCTGAGCAAGTTGGTTGTCGACCCAATGCCTTCCCAGCTCTGGACATCCTTCAGTAACACCTTCGGCTCGCGTTCGAGCCGCCCCAGGATGAATCCCGTATTCGGGCGGATTCGCCCTCGCGCTGCATAAGGACTAGCGTCCTATGCGCGCGCACTGTCCGCTGAAGCTTAAGAATCTGCGCCCGAGCCGATGAAGATCGACTCCGTCGATGCGTCGAGCAATTGTCAACGTCATGGGTCACGTCGGAATGGATTTTGGAGCGGTCGATATCTAACGTGCTTCCGTTGCCGGAAGGTCGGTCACCGCGCGGCGCACCAGTGCCAGTGCTTGTGCATGCTGATGTCAAGTTTGTATCTGCCGAACAGCCAAAAAACGGTAGGTACGAGCGCCCTATTGACCGGGTTGGAGACCCGGGTCCCCCGGTGACAACTCAGCATCCTAGCCCTTCTGTGCTGCATGCACACGTCATTTCCACCACACGCCGAGTGACTCGAGACTGATAATCGTCAGCCTCCACGTCGCCGGTGCACGACGATCACTGCGCGCGGTCCTGGATTCAAAAGCGACTAACAACTTTATGTTTGCGTCATGTCTGCCGATTGACTGGTTGGCCCGGTCAGTCAAACGTCGTAGTGACTGCGACGTTAGAGAGGTATTCTCCGATCTCCTGGTCGCACAGAAGGACTGGCCTTACGCTACCGTCATGGATTTATTATCCACGACGCATGTTGTGCTCGGAGCATCTGAATGCCCTCTCTGTACGGCTTGTGCAGTGCTTCTATACGATGAACTCTCGCAGCGATGCGCGGCCCGAGATCAATTGGCGGTTGAGCATGGACTCCCGCTGATAAATGCGATGGCGGTTAAGCAGGGGTTTCCGCTAGAGGGAGGGGTGCGGTCTTTTCCAGTGAGAGCGATTCATCATTTTCGAGTTTGCACTCGAGGCGGAGAAAGAAGAATTCCAAACCACGCCGACTGAATCCAAGTCGAGAAAACGTGCCAAGGGAGTCGGTTGCGTTCTTGAGTGTATGGAAGATACCGCCAGTCGCCAATGAACGACGGAACTTGCAAGTCCACCACATCGCCAGTGCTGATCTAGCGGCGCTCGAAGTGAACACTGTCAGTACAGATGATGGTTCCACGCCCGCAAAGAACGCCAAGCCGAAGTCGGCCCGCGAGGCGCGCAATCTTGGGAAGAGCTACGCAAATCAGGCAATTCAGTCTACGAGACCGTCCGCGTTTTCCCGGATAAAATCCCAGCCAAGATTCCTGCTGATCGAGGGATTTCCACGAGATCAATCTTGTGCACGGTGAAGTACTGCGTAACGCGGCAAACACCGCTGTCGTGAGATCGAGTCAAAGCCATTGACAACTTCTTCTAGAGCTGCCGCAAGGTGGTCATGTGCGGGAGAGCACATCGCCGCACTCCAGCCCGACACTCTGCGTAAAGAAAGCCATGTGCGAGTGGCGCATCATCCACGCCTTTAACAAGCTGAACGACGCTACCATACCTGCACAGACTTTTTTGGAAAGACATGGTTTAGTCGCCATGTCGGGTAGCGAGGTCTACAGCGCCATTGACTTGACCGATGTCGCGCAATATTCCGTTTACATCGGTAAGTACCCCTAGCGGAGTGCTCTGGGAGTGGCTCGTCATGTTGCAAGGTTTGAAAAATATTTTTGCCTCGTTCAATCGCATGGTCTCCCATGTGCTGCGTCCGCTTTGTGCTTTTACTTCGAGTTACTTCGACGACATTTTCGTACACAGTCATGCTGAGGGAGACCTCAGTGTCCTCGAGGTTCACTTACAATACCTGCAGTGAGTCTTTCAAGTGATGCGCGAGAATAAGCTGTACGCAAACTTGAAGAAGTGCATCTTTTCCGCACTAAAGATCCCAGTGCTTGGCTGCTCCGTGAGCAAACACAACGTTCGTGCTAATCCGAATTGGAATCTTCGATCTGCACATTACCTACGCCACAGAGCCCCGCTGAGCTACGTCAGTGGCCGGGCCTCGCCAATTATCTCCACAAGTACACGAAGAATTATGCCGGACTGATCCAGCTACTCTTTTCAGTGCTGAAGAAAGATGCTACATGGTCAGGGACTCCCGGTTTGGCCGATGCTCCGATCCTCACACTTCCGGGTGACTCCAAATGTTTTTACGTTGTTTGTGGCGCGAGCGACTTAGCCATCGGCTGTGCGAAGATGCAATTTGTTGGTGAAGGTTGCTAACGCGTCGTGAGCTATCAGTCCCGATAGATGAAGCCCGCGGAACGCAAGTACTCTGTCCACGACAAAGAACTTCTCGCAATGTGCTACGCTCTGATCAAGTTCAAAGTGTACTTACTGGGTGGTAAAACATTATGGTGTACACCGATCATACATCGCTGAGGATAGCGATGAAGATTTTACTTCTCTTCCAGCGGAAGACCCGCTGGTTGTTGTTCTCCTCTTAGTTTAACGTTGTCGTCCATGATAAGCCGGACAAGTACAACATTCTCGCCAACGCTTTGTTTCGGCGTCTCTACTATCGTCCACATGACTCGCTGGATCGTCAAGCGATACCCGACGAAGGCGATATAGAAGGGTGTACTGCGTGCGGGGCGTCAGGAGCGAATCTGACGAGGGTTCTCCGAATTTGCCATTTCGCACAAGATCCGTGCTGCTAATTGACATGACTCGGCGTAGTTGGGTATTTTCGCTCTCCCAGCGTATCGACGCTAAGAGCCTTTCTCGAGTTATACGGAGTCAAATAATCGTTACTGTCCATACGATGGTCTGTTGCACTACAGCATCGATAGCTTTGATGCTACCCGATTCGTCGTGCCCAATAACCCCGACCTGCCATCATGGATCATCCACGAGTTCCACGATGCCCCGCTGGGCGCTCATCTAGATCGTGAGAAGACCTTTGCCGCCGTTTCTCGCGACTTCTTCGGGTCCTATCTTTACAAATGGATACAAAAATGGATGCATAACGGCGAGGTTTGTCAGCGTGTGAAACCTTCGTCGTCGTCACAGGCTCCCCTGCAATATCTCCCAGTGGCCACCCAGGCCTCGCGCTCGGTATCGATGAATTTATCTTCGCTCTGAACGGACGTTTGGGTGTCTTGGTCTTTGTCGATCTTTTCAGCACAATGGTTCATCTAGTTCCTGTGTCGAACAAAATCACCGCGGCTGACACTGTGGCGCACTTCATTGATGCTGTTCTTCGTCATCATGGTCTCCCTAGATCCATTGTCTGTGACTGGGATCTGCGTTTCACGTCAGCCTTCGAGCCACTGGGTTTGAAGTTGTGAATGTTCACAGCAGCTCATCCGGAACAAATGGTTAGACGGAGTGCGTTACCTGTGTCCATAAAAAGGTGCTTCAAAGTTATGCAACATCATTTCCCAGCTGGAGCTCGTTCCTGCCACTCGCCAAGTTTGCATTGAACAACGCGGTACACGTGTCGACGGGATTGCCTTTATCGTCAACAGCGCGTAGCACCCGCGCTTCCCTGTTCTCGCTGTGGGTCAACCCACAGCGCCGTGTGACTCCAATCTGGGTGAGGAAGAAGCCGCCGCCACACCGTCTACTCCTGTTCCCGCGCCACAAGTGACTCCGTCGGTATTTGATCAACCAGTCAAGAAGATCTTGTCGGCACCGCGCAACGCGGGATCTTCTCCTGTAGTATGGATCAATTTTAATCTGATCAATTCCGGTGCTGCTATCTACGCGCCAAAGGAAGCGGCGCGACCAATCGACTCCGCTATCGTCTCTAAGTTCGTCTTGCAACGCTAAGCAGGCACGCGATACATTAGAGATGCACTACAGGACGCGGTGGATAAGCAGAGGAAAATGATGACAAGACTGTCCGCAAGCACAAGGACACGTTTACGACAGGATATCGAGTGCTCCTGTCGACAGATACTGTTTGAGATGCAGCGATAAAAAACTCGGCTCGAGCAAGCTCGTACCGCGCTTCATTGGACCGTTTACGGTAATGAAGGTTATTTGTGACGACTACACACTCGACATCCCTTCGACACTATGGCTACATCCGACATTCTTCCTCGGGCGATTGAAGAAGTACCATCTGTTCGATATCCCGGGCGCTGATTCGTTTTCGAGC